TACAATTGTCCACGGAACAATGATACAATGTTTGAAAAGTGTTTAAAGTTCAGTTACCATCGATTACACTTTTAAATTCCATAATAAATTCAGGAAATTAAAGTCTCATTAGCAGTAGATCCTGTCTAACATCTACCACGTTATTACAATCCAATTCCTTTTAGCCTGTGCAAGTCAGTCTTTTTTTACTATAAAACAACCGAATACCATCTTCCAGCAGATTTTTTAAACTGGGTTCCACTAGGTTCCTGTTGTTCAGTTACTCAGTAATGATCCCGTCTACCTTTAGTAGATCTTGTTTCGTAGTGTTCATTTTTAATCGTCTTATCGTTTAGGAATTTCCTGGAAACAACGATCAGGACACTGTTATTTCCCATCAACTCGACCCACCAATCAGAGCCCGTTATATTCGCTTTGGACCAGTGGCTTGGCATAGACATATATCAATGAGAGTGGAACTGTACGGCTGTGAAGGTAATAAAAAGCATTGAGCCACTTCACATTCCCTGAAGAATTTTTGCTTTTTACGTCACTAAATTGTCCTAAAATGTGCACACGTGAAGAGAAGTGGACAATGAAGACGTTAAGAGACAGCTACCATTTAAACACGCACTTTATAACTTCTTAAAAAGATACAGTAATGGTTTTATCGGTCGCCAATTATGAACAATTATCTGTATTATTTCCTCCTCTATTTCTCCTTTGTAATAAAATAAGCAGCTTACGTTAATCTGTATTTGAAAGCTTTTTACGTAATTAATAAGAAAATGCTGGCGAATCGAATAACTGGTAAACAGCATTTTAATCGTTTCGTTCATTTATTAATTTTATTTCCATTCATTTCCAAACAACCGAAATGGCGGACTGATTAATTTTTTGGAAGAAACTTGACATACTGCTTGATTTCTCAGGGTTTTTCCTTAAGCGCTTTAGTGAAGGGTGAAGCTTGACGTTCTTCCAGGGTTATACGATCAGTTTTGGGTGGTTTGAAATCTGTTGAAAGGGATAGTGGAAATAAATGTTGTCCATGAATTTTAAATTTTTGGTAGATATTACCCCACATTTAATATATAATAGTTTTAAAGACTAACATTTCCTCTGGAAGCTACTTAAAAGAAACACTAATCTCAAAACATTCAATGTTATTAATATATTTCTCCATACGTCCTGCAGATGCTGACGCAGTGATCTAAAGAAGAAGAAAAAGACATTTGACGCTCACTGGTCCTAGTTAATAATATTAATAACTCATTCAATTTTTGTAAAAGAAATAACACGAATAAAATAAATTAATTGCTGTCTACGTCTGCTTGAGTTTCAATGATATATTGCCTGGATATCTCGCTAACATTGATGCTGAGGCACTCTCTTTGCCTTCCCCCGGCGGAGACGAAACTGGCCCAACTCGAAAACGTTTAGATCAGCTTCTGCTACGTAGACTATCTCCGGTCCCAGTTGCAGTAACACGACTATAGTTCATAATAACTCCGATAATAAAAAATGTCAGAGCCTGAAATTTTTTCAGGTCATTTTTCCAGTAGTGTTATGGCCGCATTCGCATCTTTCATTCTTTCATTATTTAATTGCTACTGTTGGACATCTATTACCATGGAACTCCGATAATATTTACAAACCAAGTCCAAAATAAATTGACTCTTGAGTCTGGTTGAATTACTTTTGCAGAGGAAAGCGTGAAATCTCTCAATTATTTCACTCCTGAAAAACTTCACTTCTAAATCGGATATTGTTCACCCTGATCTAGACGGTTCTTGCAAGTACAGTACAGCTACTACTAATTTTATAGAAAGAACTGGGGCCCGTTTCTCGAAAAGCCCCGGAAACGTTTCGAGTCCGTAAAGCCATTTTTAGTTCATCTGTATCTAAAAACGGAGGAGTGTATACGCCTGAAACTTCTTGTATATGAAGGGAACCTCTCTTCATTTTAAGAACATGTGAATAAAACAGCTCTGCGATCGTGAGGTTCGAGATTTTGCTATGGCTTTACGGGCCCGAAGAGTTTTCGGGGCTTTCGAGAAACGGGCCCCTGGGCCGATATTATACATAGGCATATCAACTTTTCTCTTTAATATGTCTTGAATCCTGGCTACGACGTCTAGTTAAAGGATAAACATTTTTGGCAGAGTAAAAAGTCAACTATTCAAGAAACAGCTTAATGAAGAAAACTTCTTGGTGTTCCCTTTCTTTGAAAAACAATACAACTAAAAACAACACAGCAATCTTCGATAACACCGAGAAAAACATGAATTTTACCTTGAGGTCAGTGTATAGTACCCTGGGTCCAGAGATTTTTCTTGATTTTTCTAGAAAAACCTCTGGGACCAGGATAAGTGTATAGAGTCATCTTGTACTTTTGTTCTAGCTCTGACTCGTCAAAAGTAAATAAAAGAACCATGCATTTTTTAATGAGATGGGAGAGAGGTGGGGGATGGGTTTGGCTGCCGGGATCTAGTACGTGGCCTCTGCAAACTGTAGCATCAAGCCTATGCGACAAGAACGAATGGTAGTCTGGGTATTCATGCATTGCAATTTTGCATATCGGTGTAGAGGGAATCTACACATATATATTTTTGCACGTGAAGTATTAGCAAGGATCCATTACATTTTTCAACCTGTCTATTCTTTCACTGTTACATGACTTTTTAGTTAAATTCTAAAATTAAAATGGCGAAAAGAAACTTGTTTCCACAACTCTGAGGAAAACTTTAACATCTGAAATGACGTTTGCCGTGTTGTCATATCTGTTTAAGCATTCAGCGCGTGCCTACTTGTACCCATTCTACCCATACTAACTTTCGGGGTTGTCGCGTGCACTTTTACGCTTTATTCCGACAACTCTCTCCAAATAGCTGTTTAATTACGCCCAATGAGGCTCCTCATTATCAGAAATTTCTACCCTGAACCCCCTTAGTAATCCTAAACTTTTGAAATGATCATAAACCCCCAAGAAAATGATAAAGTAAAATTCGATTTAACACTAAAAATAAACCTATTTGCTTTTTCTTGTTTGTACACGTTACCTTTTCCGGTTTTTAAATGAGCACAACTTAATTATGCGCGTGATCACTTGTCACAACACGCAAAAGCCCTCAAGCGTTCTCTATCTCGCATAAATTAGGTATGAAGGAATTGAGTCTGCCAACGATTATAACATCAATGAAGACCAGAAGTGTTAAAATGCACTTGTCAATGGCATTTTTGATGGTCTTCGCTCTTAGAATCGGGAACTCTTGTCAAAATATTAACAGTGACGAAGATCATGACGGCAAATACACGATGCACGTTTCAGACGTTTACCAAACGGCAGTGGAACGGGATTACGAGAGCGAAAACCCCAAAGGTACAAAAACATCGCGAAAATTGCTTTCCAAAAGTAGTTGCAAATGCTATTTAAACTAGTTTGAGATGAATTATGCGACGGTGCTCAATTATGCGGCGATTATATAACAATTCATACAATGTTCTAATATAATTCTCTATGACTGAAGTTGTATTAAATAGCTAATAACATGAATGCCGTGCGTGTGTGACATCAATCGTAGCGAGAAATAATGTCACTAGCACTTGGAGTTAGTCTGTACGCTTTCTTCGGCATTTTTTTACACTTGTATTACCATAATGTTCAACTCTTAATCTTTATTTTTCCAATAAACCTATTTCTACCACTTTTCACAGTTTGTGGGGCAGATGTGAAATGTCACACCAACGAAATGTCAATATCTCTTCCTAAGTCCTTACTTGTTAGCATCGACCGAGAAAACCTTCAGCTCCTGGATCCAACCTGTACGGCAACGGAAAATAGTACGCATTTTGTTCTAACAACGACTCTGATTGGATGCGGGACCTCCAGCAGTCAGACTGAGAACAGCCTGGTATACAGTAACAGGGTTCGTCATGTTCCTCCGGGGACAGCAGTTATCACGCGAGCACCAGAGGTTCAAATTTCTTTCAGCTGCCATTACTCTAAATATGGTTTTGTGTCAACTGGAGCTCTACGCAGTGAAAAAAGAACAAATATAAACAGGGCGGCAGAAAGAGTATTCGATGAAGATATCTGCTGGAATAACAGGTGTGGTGTGCTTGCTAGATTTTAAACTGCAACCATTTTCTCCGGGGTATTAGAGCCATGTCCAGTGCTGGCCTTGGAATCCCGAGTTTCCGCATCGGAGTCGACTCAATATCACAACTGTGCACGTGTGGAAGTGTAGAATAATGTGACAAACTGGAAATTTAAACCGGCCTTTTTCCCCAGCCATTCCACACTTGTCATTCTTTACTTAGTTCCACATTCCTCTATGCGTAGAAGTGACTAGCTGTGAAAAACTTTGGATTTCAGCAGCCTTTTCCTTGGCCATTTCACATTTGTCATTCTTTGCTTAATTCTACACTTCTCTATATGTGGAAGTGCAGAATGCTGTGCCAAACTAGGGATTTTAACGCCTTTAGGCCATGATCAATCCACAATTGTTGTTAAAAGAATAAATAATAAATAAAAAACTTTATTTTTACGTCAAATATATTTAGCACTGTTGTGTTAAAATGATGACCCTGTAATTGAAAATTAACTAAGCAAACTGATTGCAAATGGAACATAAACTAGACAGCAATCACTTTGTGTAGATTTTTGAACTGAAAACAACGTTATAAGACCTTATAAACTGTGTTATAATGTAGTGTTATGGCTGCATTCGCATCTATTATCATGTCTATATTTCATTGCTACTGTTTTTCATCTATTACTATGGTAGTACCGTATATTGCTGTCTGCCATGTACAAAATAGCTTAATAAGACGAGGAAAAACTACGAAGAGTTAGAAGTAAACATTAATGGAACAAGCACCAGGATAATTTGGATATATGATACCTATACTGAATGCAACACCAAATGTGTTATAAAGACAATGGTGGTGATAACCTGCTTTAAACTTTGAAGAGTAAATGGAGTAACTATTGGCGGTTTTCTTTTCTCATTCTCATTTTAGGTTTCTGCTGTATCGTCGCAGCTTTACATGTCCGAGGGAATTGACAGCATATACCCTTGATTTACATGACCAGAACAGAGAAGACAAATGACAGTTCAGGAGACTCAACCGGGCCTACAAAGGCAACTCGATACTCAGCAGATGGAATTCGGAGCTAACTTTATTTGGCTCATTTGGGGTCTGTAGGGGTTTGGTGTGTGTGGAAGCTCAATATTTAATCGCCTATAAATAGGTCTTGGGCTGGAGACGAGAACCTTCTAACAGTAAGCTCCACACCAGATACACCAAATGGGGCTCATCAAGGTTACCAGAGTGGCGGAGTCACAAATTACCATGTCGATTATTTAATACCTTATGAACTAAAAGCATTTTTTTTTTTGATGTTTTCACTTGCCCAATGCGATAAGGTCGAATCCACCTATTTGGGAAACTTTTTTTGTAGCTAGTAATTTACCTCAAAGAGATTTTTCTAGCTCGAAGTCAACCAAAGGCTTCGTCCATTACTCATTACATTTATGTGTGTAAATTACTCTCATGATATGATTTGTGTTCATGTGTAATTGTATATCTGTATTTATGCCAGTTTAGACTATTTACCAATAAAAATACAATTATTGGCCAACCTTTCCTCAGCAAATTTTAAACACTGGAATTTTTGAAGTTGAACGAGCTTTGTAACTCTTTAACACATAATCTATGCATCCTGATCTTACTGTCTTGAAAGTTCCCATAATAAGTGCGATCTTGTCAAAATTTGTCTCATTTATTTGTTTGTAACCGTATTGCTGGTCACGAATGCGGTAGTCTGCAGTCGTTATGCTACAGAGCGGTTTGACAACAAACACCTTAATTTTATGTGTAGTCGAATTCTTTAATCACAATGAAGTACGTAACTTTATGGTTCAAAAATCAAAATTTTCCGTGTTAGCATTGTGATGAGAGCTTTGACATAATAAAAGAGAACAATAAAAGAACCTCTATGCTTAGTGGTCTCAATGAATAAATTAAACTGAATGCGGAAAATTGTTCTTGACTCCAATATATACGACGCTATGGCGCTTATAAATGGAACTGTTTCAACATGAAAACTTGAAGCAAGATGCTAGTCATTTTGGTGTTTCAGCTCTGTTTTATGCTAGCCAACTGTCGTCATGAGATTCTTTCTTATGACAAACCGCAAGACGCAACGCGAGACGAAAGAGCAGACACTGAAATAAGTGATAATACACACGATATTCTTGTTATAGGTAAGAACCTAACTTAGTCGATTTTGACTTTGACAATATTTTAGATATTTCAAAATTCCTTTCACCTTGAGTACGCTAGCCCTAGCTTAGTAAATTAGTACACTGGATCGTTGTCATGTTTTGCCGCAATCTGCGGTGTTTACCGGAGAGTGTTAGAAGTCAAACATACTATGCAATCACTCATCCTTAACTTTAAGTGCGCCATAATTAATTCTGGCAAATTCGTATGCTTGGATGAATGTTACATCTTTTTCTCAAACAGTTAAAATGATGGGTAAACTTTATTTAGAAACAAACATTTTAGGAAGTCGTTGTTACTTCAAAATCCTTAATTTTAGCCTCGATATTCTTATAAAATATATTCTTATAAAAAGAATAGTGTACTAGAACTCCAAATGAGCGTACTTTAGACTTACATTGAAGCTCAAGTATAAAACCAGTCTTACTTGTTTTACTGGTCCTTTACAATAAAGTAACACGCCAATAAAGTGCGATGCACGTCGTATAAAGACGCAGTGAATTTCGTCGAAAAGTTCAACTATTTTATGGTCCTAATATATATAAACAAACACAGATATCCCTATACTTTACTGTTATTCTGACTTTTTTAAGCAGACGATGACACCGTGTTTGATTATTCAGATGAAGTGCAAGGTCAGTATATTCGTTTTATAACCTTTATATCCATCATTTGTCTGTGATAACCATAAAAAGGAATAAGACGTCTAATGGCACTGAATTTACTTAATTTTTTTCTCCAGCTTCTGAGCGGTCCGGAATCCTAAATCGTTTCGTCGGATCGGCTAATTGCGCGCTCTAGTGATACGGATTTTCCCATCAGGACCACGAGTACGGACCGCTCCGAGATTTCCAACACTGTTTTAGGCCAAAAACCAATCTTGTTGAACATAATATCTCCCTAGTCAGTGTGACAGATAAAATCAGCCCTACAAATTTTGCAAACAGTATCGAATTTTGTGGCCGAAATGTCAATGAATGAGAATTCTTGGGATTCGAATACTTGTGAGTGCAATTGTAGCGAATGTATACGTGTAGACATAACCCTTGACTTCTTAAAAAAAAAAACAGTTGTTAAACTAATTTAGTCAAGCTATAGCTCAAATGGCCGACAATATTAAATTTGCTGTTTAATAGATGTCTAATATAATTTTTGTCATTCGACTTTTTTCTTAGATGACAAAGTAACCGTGGATTGCTTACAAAACAACATGGTTATTGCTATTCCCAAGACCCTGCTCCGAGGTGCAGACCGTGAGCACATAAGAGCCCTGGACGTGGACTGCCAGGCTTCTGAAAATCTCACTCACTTTTTTCTCGACGTTCCGCTGACCGGTTGTGGGACCAAAAGCAGGCACGCAAACTCGTCGGTTATTTACAGTAACGAAGCGCTTCCGGTTCCCGCAATGGCCGAGGATGTTGTCTCTCATGTGCCTGATTTTAGAATTCCATTTCACTGTTATTACGACAGTGAGGGACTGGTGACTGGCGTGGGACTCATGCCGCGTAGCAAGAAAGTAGTTTTATCCCAAAAGGGTTTTGGGAAGTTTACTTTGAAGCTCGACTTGTACCCGGATATCAGGTTTGTGGTGTTTAAACCAGATATAAACATCAATCGGCAAATTCCATATATTT